GACCATCTATCTATTGATCTATCGATCTCACCGTCCATCGATCGTTCTCACTACCTGTCTATCGATCTCAGTATCTACCGATTTAGCAATTAAAATATTTGTAGATTTATACAGGTATCGGTCGCATTACTTATACCTTAATCTTACTCGCTCTCAGTATTCCATCGGAACGACGATCGGGACAACTATCGGGACAACCACTATCGGTCGATTTTATATCGATCGGACTATCGTCCTACCTCCTACTCACCGATCGTCCTCACTACTTATCTGCCAATGGGTCTCACACTACATATTTATATACAGATGTACATATAGATATTACACGTAGATCGATCGATACCACAATGCACCTAAGTATTTCACCATCCACCTATCGATCTCACTGTCCATCCATCGATCTCACTGTCGAAAGATTTGTCGATCTATCTATGTATCGGCCCCGCTACCTATCCACGCATCTTACCACCAATCACTCTATCTACACTCGGGACAATCGTAATCAAATGATCTACCATCGGGGCAACCCTCGGAACAACCGCTGGACAACCGGCCCCAATTACGCTAACCGGACGAGAAGTCTTTCGCTCCCACTTCGCCCTAGCAGCGGCGGGGTCACTCCTATCGCCCGCGCACGCACCTTCGCGTCAACGGCACGCGCGACACGAACACGAAACCAACACCGATTGCCGCATTCGGCGTCTCCGTTTCACTTCGATCTCACCCCCAACCTCCAATATCGGATGTTTGGGGGCGAGATCGAAGTGAAGTAGAGTTGCCGAACCGAGAAATCGACTTCGGTTTCGGTTCGTGTCGTGCGTGACGCGCCTGCGTGCGAGTCGAGGCGAAGCTGCGCGAGCTCCTGCTCTCGCAGAAGCCAAGTCAAACCAAAAGGAGCCGCCCTGGCCCGGCCTGTGGACGCTGGTTTCAGCACCCCGAAGGGGTGGAGCCGCCAGGGGGTGCTGCAAGGATAGTTCGCGGCCAGACTGTGGGAATCATCTTAGGCGGTTTGCCACGTTCGTGGCCAGCGCTCCTCTGCTTCCAGAGCAGATCGTGAGGATGTCTCGAGTGAGGCGCTGGTTGCAACACCCCAAGGGGGAGCCGCCGGGGGGTGTTGCAGTCCCCCGTTCGCGGCCAGACTGTGGGAATCATCTTAGGCGGTTTGCCAGGTTTATGGCCAGCGCTCCTCTGCTTTCAGAGCAGATCGTAAGGATGTCTCGAGCGAGGCGCTGGTTTCAGCACCCCAAGAAGGGGGCCGCCGGGGGTGTTGCAGTCCCCCGTTCGCGGCCAGGCTGTGGGAATCATCTCAGGCGGTTTGCCACCGTCGAGGCCAGCGCTCCTCTGCTTTCCTTTCAGAGCAGATCGTGAGGATGTCTCCAGCGAGGCGCTGGTTGCATCACCCCAAGAAGGGGAGCCGCCAAGGGGGGGGTGTTTGTGGCACGGGCCTGCTCGCGGCCAGGCTGCGGGGATGTCTCGGGCGGTGTTTGCCTGCTCGGTGCTTGGACTTCTCTGCGTTCAGACCAGATTGTGAGGACGTCTCGAGCGCTATGTTGCTCCCATCGCACTGAAGGACCACATCCCCCAATAAACATTCGAGCACCTTGAAAAGTGTCGCAAGAGTGTCGACACAGTGTCGAAACAAGGTCGGGGGAATGTCTCCCAGGGCCCGGCAGGTGAAACCCGGGAGTTTCGGTATTTTTCTATGATGCTCGAAATTCTTTCTGGTGATGAAGGCTGAAGTAGGTTGGAATCTCATAACTCGAGCGAGGCGCCGGCTTCAGCACCCCAAAGGGGGGGGGGGGCGCCAGGGCATGTTGCACGGCCCCGTGCGCGGCCAGACTGTCGGGATGTCTCAGGCGATTTTCTCGTTTCGTGGCTGGAGCTCCCCTGCCTTCAGAGCCGATCGCGAAGAGGTCCCAGGCGGGGCGCTTGCTTTAGCACCCCAGGGGGGACATCAGGAGGTGTTACATTTGCCCGTTCGAGGTCAGATTGTGGGAATGTCTCAAGCGGTTTGCTCGTTTCGTGGTTGTGACTTTCACGTCTTCAAGGCAGATCGCGAGGATGCCTCGAGCGAGTCAGACGCAAACGCTAGTTTAGTCACCCCGACCCCTCTCCGTTCAGGGCCCCAAGAGCATCCTATTGCAGCAGGCGCGCCATTTGCGCACTCCAGGGGATATCAACCATGGATCGTTCAGCCGTCACACGCATATATTCTTTCACTCAGACACGCACGAGCGGAAGCGCCAGGAACTGAGACGCACATCTGGGGATTTCCGCCTCGGATAATTCCTTGCTTGCTTGCAGGATTTTGGCATTTGCTCACCTTTGGCTTTCCGGCGACCCAAGGCGGCTCCAGATGCCACCAAGCTGGCCCCCCAAGCGCACATGAAGTCTCCGAGATGGCCTCCCGATTGCCCAGGAGACCTTAAAGACGCCCACTATGGCCTTTAAGACTGCCCTGAAGCGCTCCAAGGGGGCCCCAAGTCGGCCTGGAGAGACCCCCAAGACGGCTTCCGACGGCGTCAGACGGGTCAGGAACATCTTCAGACCGCAAACGAGCCTCCCAAGGAGCCTCCAAAGGCCCCCAAGAGGCACAAGAAATCCGCCCCAAGATGCCTCCACGACACCCCCAGGAAGCTCCCAGGAGGCCCCCAGAGTGCCCCAAGAGGCCCCCGAGACGCCTCCCCCTCCTCCTCCTCCTCCTCCTCCTTCTTTTTCCTCCCTCTCCTCCTCTTCTTTCTCCCCCAGGTGTTCCCCGAATGAGTTCCACAACGGCTGAGGGAACACGCAATCCGATAGCTTGGCCGAGCTCAGGCCGCAGCGTTCGGCCACATAGGCGGTTCTAAAAGCCAGGGGGCGGCGATCATTTGCCATACACGTCTTCGGTCTGTATATGCATGTGTGTATGTATGTATGTAGGTATGTGTGTAGGTCTGCATATACGTACATATGTATGTATGTATGTATGTATGTAGGTATGCATGCATGCATGCATGCATGCATGCATGTATGTATGTATGTATGTATGTATGTATGTATGTATGTATGTATGTATGTATGTATGTATGTATATATGCAGGTAGGTAGGTAGGTAGGTAGGTAGGCATGTATGAATATATGAAAATATGTATGTATGTATACATGTATGTATGTATGCATGTATGTGTGTGTATGTATGTGTATATGTGTATATGCATATAGGTATACGTATGTATGTATGTATGTACGTATGTATGTATGTATGTATGTACGTATGTAGACAGGTATGTTTGTCGGTATGTATGTATGCATGCATGTATGTATGTATGCATGTATGCATGTATGCACATGTATACGTATATGTATATGTACATGTATAGGTAAAGATATATGTACATGTATATGTATACGTATACACACGCGTTTGTATGTAGTGTGTGTGTGTGTAAAGTACATGAAAGCTGCGTAAACTGCGTGCCCCAGTGGTCTTCCCGCGCATGACGGCCCCACGACTGCTTCCAAGATAAACACGGTGGCCTCCAAAATGGATCACCTTCCCCCAACAAGTCCCGAATCTGTCTCTAAGACGGCCCAAGATGCACCCATGACGCCTCAGGATGGGCCCAAGATGGCCCAAGACGGCCCGAGAGGTCCCGAAGAGGCCTCCGAGTGGACCTCCAGGAAGCCAACACCATTGCTTCCCCTGAGGTTTCTCAATGGTTTTAGCGTTCTCGACTTTTCGGGTATCATCCGACGCTCCAAGACGGTGCCCTTGGCCCCAAAGATCGCCTCAAGAGGCCAACAAGAGGCCCGCAAGACGACCCAAGATGGCCCCAAGACTGCCCAAGACGGCTTCAAGACTGCTCAATTGACCTCCAAGGCGGCCCTCAAGCGCCCAAAGAGGAACCCACGACTGCCTAGAGAGGGCCCCAAGACGGCCTCCGAAGGACAAGAGGTCCCTCGGAGGCCCCCAGGCCCCCCAGAGGCCCCAGGAAGGCCTTCTAAGAGGCCCCCAAGAGGCCCCTCAGAGGCCCCCAAGAGGTTCCCAGGAAGCCCTCAGGAGGGCAGCCCCAAGTGGGCCTCAAGAGGCTTCCTCTTCTTCCTCCTCCTCCTCCTCCTACTCATCCTCCTTCTTCTCCCTCTCCTCACCCTTTCCCTTCCTCTCCCAAGTGTTCCCCCAAAGGGTTCTACAACGGCTGAGGAAGAAAACGCAGTCTCATAGCTTCACCAGACTTCGGCCCATCATTTGGCTGCATAGTCATTCCCAAAAGGCAAGGGCGGCGGTGATTCGCCGTAGGCGCCTTCGACACACACACACATATATATATATACATATATGTATTTATATGTATTTGTATATGTATACACACATATCTATACACATATGTAGGCAATCACACAAGCATAAGACTTGAAGGCTCGCTTTGCTTCGCCTCAAATCTTGGTCCTGCGTCCAAGCGATGTTGGGGGGCTGCCGAAGGACTCATCGGAACGGAAATGTAATGTCCAGGAGGCAGGTGTTTGTTATCTGCAGGATGGACCTATAGGTCTGTGCTCGCCCTGGGGAAGGTCTTGGGTGCGACGGGGGCGAAAGTGATGACCTCGATACCAAGGCGAGCACTGACCCCAACAGGGGTGGCGATTATGACGTCGAGGGTGTGTACGCCATGACCGACAGCGAGACGAAGGTCATGGTAAAGCGAGGCCTAGGCAATGGCCTCGAAACCCATGACTTGGAACAACAACCGAAGAGATGACCGCGAGGGGAGTGAATGTCATGCTCTGAATATGTATGTATGTATCGATATATAGATATAGATATAGATGTATTTGTAGATGTATTCTTTGTGTCTATCCATACATGCGCAATCGCAGGGCCAAGGGTGGCCTCTGCCAGACACGGCGGTGGTGGTGGTGGTGGTGTACAGGAGCCTTCTGTGGATGCAGCGCGCCCATCGCCCTGCCCCTGCGCGCGAGCGGCCAGCGAGGCCCTCGCCACTAGCCGCACAGGCCTGCGACCCATGGAGCGGCTGCGGCCTCTGCGAGGCGGCGGCGGCGTCCGCAGCACGCACACCGCGCGGGCTCCGGCGCGCGCGGGCGACGCGCTCGACGCCCCAGACCCGTCCGAGCTGGCCTCGCTGCTGTCCAGGGCGTCCGCGCCGGGCCCGGGGTCCATGGTGCTGGCATCTGTGGAAGACCGCCGGCACCACGCCGGCAAGTCCTGCTGTGCCGCCTTGCCCAGCGGGCGCGCGTCCTGGCGGCGGCCTCGCGGAGGCGCCGGCCGCGCAGGCGGCGGTCGCAAGGCGGTCGGCGAGCCGCCACCGGCTCGAGGCCTCGAGGGGCTGGCCGCGGCCTCGGCCTGGCCGAGGGCCGAGGGGAAGGCCTCCCGCGCGAACGCCCGTACGTGCGAGTAGCTGATGTCGGAGGCGATGCTCCGCAGCATCCCCCTGCGCTGTGCTACGGTCAGGGCGATCGCCAAGTACGCAGCCCGCTCATAGCTCTTCTTGTTCGGTCCCACGCCAACTGCAAGGAAGCTCCCCTTGTGGACTACAGCGGGGAACTGTGCATTCGGGCAGCCGATTGCCAGGAGCTCCCGTTGCACGGCCTGCAGCAACTCCTTTGTCGCGGCGTCACTCGCGCTACTCAGCATGCACACTTCGAGCTCGCCAGCTCTGGGGATCTCCAACACCTGCTGGCAAAGGCGAGATGCCTCCTGCATGATCCCATGCTTTGAGTTTTGACAGGATACCACGAGACACTCATCATCGCTGTCGCCTAGTCTGAGTCGTATCCAATGAGCGCCAACCTCTTGTGCTTGAAACATACTTGCGGAGGCTTGACCCTAATTCAGGCTTGAGCCGAAATGGCTACGGGGTGGGGGTATGACGTGCCTACCGAGCGGGTTCCAAAACGGGTTCAGGCCGAGGGGGTGAGGTGAGTCCGCTCTCCTAGACCCTCGCTTTCAAAAGGCTGCCAACAGCCATTTGCCCTAGCACTCTTTCAGGATTTTGGAAGCCTCCACCGAGAGAGTGGCAGCGGCGGGGGAGACCCTGGACGTGGCGCGATGGCGCCATAACTTAAACTTTCTCTGTGCCTGCTCGTGCCGCCGCCTTCTTTTCCTCCTCCTCCTCCTGCTTCTGCTCGTCCTTGCCTGGTCCTGCGGCTGGGCTCGCTCAGGCGTCGTTGAATATGGGGTGGGTCGGTCGGTGTGTGCAGATGCAGCGACGGCGTTTGTTGAGTTCCAGCAACAATTTGCCTATCGACGAAACTTAGGAAAGCAGGGCCAGCAATTGAACACAATAACGCAGCGGGCGGAACAGGGAGCCAACACTGTCATCGGCAAGGCAATGCATATACTCGTCGCACGGCGCCAGAGCCCGAACTCCCGTGAAAGCAACAATTCGCATTTATGTGCATCCAAATAATCAGCCACGCTTGATCGCCCAATGAACTGCCTGATCGCAACATCCGAGGCCCGCCGGTACCCTTCGCTCTTTGCATACTCTTTGGAACCAGTTCTGGTAGCTGTCTCGATCTGTTCCTGCTTGAACCACTCGTTTCAGTTTTCGCAATGCACTCCTGGCCAACGGTGCTTGACGATGAATTTTAACAATTTTGGAAGGTCCTCTTTTGGGTCCCAACGTGTTTGCCGCAATATGTGCTTCGCGCTACCGTGGCGCGGGAAAACATGATGACCACGATCACCTCCGCGACGGAAGCCAAGTTTCCTCAACTCGTTGAAGAATGGCTCTGTCGGTCTCTGTGAAGAAGTTTTCTCCAGCTTGGCATAGACGTCATCCCAATCATCCCAAACGTGCTCGTCGGTGGAAACGTCCTGCTCGCTTGCTGTTTGTGTGTGGTCAGAATCTCGACGGTGTCGGCTCGGAAGCTTTGTGCCGAAACCAAATTCAGAGATTATCTCTGCGTCCTCTTTCGGAATCTCATCTCCATCTGCAAAGCGCGGCAGACCTTGGCAGTGCAATTCTGCCACCACTTCTTTGACCTTGCGTACACCAACCCCATGGAGGGCTGCCAATTCATAAATGTCAAGTGGCAAAACCGAAGCTTCACTAGATGAAGAATCCTTGTAGGAACGCTGTGAATTCAGTGTAGGACCTGTTCGGCCTAAGTTTATCAGGGGCAATGTTCGACGAGTGCCGCGCGCCAGAAGCAAGGACAACATGCTGTGCGACCGAAAGCCGCAGAGCTGCTCTCACGAAGTGGCATACCCAAATGGCTTGATCTGAAGTTGTTGCTTGGACCAAGACGGCCGCGGGCCAGATGCAGCAACAAGCCAATGGCTCACGATTGTGGCCTCGCAATCGTCGCTCCGATCGGGACCACGCGCAGGTTCGACCGCTTGGCCAGGGTAGTTAACAAGGTCTAGGGGAAGATATTGTTTTTCATATTCCTGCTCGTCCAAACGCACCTGGCCATCATTTCCACATCGGCCCAAGAGTCCCACTTTCTCGAGCTGGATCGATCCGTGAGGATCCCCTGGCCCGAAACTGCGGCGAAAACAATGGTCGTAATTTTCACGATGCCAGAACCCCCGGGCAGGAAGATGGCTCAGACCAGAGTGGGTGATCGGGGCGAGTGCAAGAGCGCGTTGCTTTGTCTTTTGGCTTTTCCTTGACTGCCTGGGCTCGGCGCGCACATGTGAACTGTGCGAGGTTGGTAACGCTTCGCGCAGACAGCCCCCCCCCAGGTAGTCCTGGCTGGCCTCAACAGGCCCCCCGAATAGTCCCAGCTGGCCTCACCAAGCCCCCCGAGTAGTTCGGGGCGGTCTCAACACCCCAACCCTGGGGCGCGGAGCGCCCCAGGGGCGCCGCTGGAGGCGGCTCCAAGGTATTGAGACCGCTCCGGACTAACTACTCGAGGGGGCCTGTCGAGGCCAGCCGGGACTACCTGGGGCGGTTCCAGCGCCAAAGCCACGCCGCTGCTCGCACAAGGGAGCCTGTGATTCTTCCGATGTGCATGCTTCTTCTAATCAAACAGCGCACATCTGTATGTCGTGCGGACAACGGGGGGGCTGTCTGCGCGCAGCCCGAAGCCTTACCGTGCGGGGCCTCTGTGAATTACGTGGCGGCCCCTCGCTGCAGGAGCTCGGAGCCGGGGCTGGCCTGCCGCCCCCGCCTCTGGCCGGCAGGGCGGCCGGAGCGCGCGGGCCTGGCCCGCGCCCGGGCCTCAGAGCAGCAGGTGCTCTGGCTCGGCCTCGGGGCTGAACATCGTGAAGACCCGCCGGGAGACCACGGGGCCCACCTTGCGCGTGCCTGAGGGGCAACGTCTGGGGGGTGGGGGGGGGGCGGCTCAGGGGGGAAGCATCCACCCAGAACCGGCTACGCATCGCCGATAGATCGGCCATGGGCACCCGATGGCGAAGCCGCACGGTCCTGGGTAGGGTGGGCCATCGGGCCCCCATCGGCGATGAGTAGCCGATTGGGGGTCGATGCATCCCCCCCTGAGCCTGTCCCCCCCAATGTTGCCCCTGAGTGCCGCTGCGGCCCTTGATGGGGTACTCGAGATCGGCCAGGAAGGCGCTCCCGCTGGAGGCGCCAGCGGAGGCGACGGCGCCAAGTATGGCGGCGGGCGAGGGGTGGTGCTCCGCGATGACCTTGGGGGTCCCAAGACGGTGCGGTGACATACGGTGCGGTGACCTCGAAAACCAAAGAGACCTCACCGCACGGTCCGTCACCGTACCGTCTTGGGACCCTGGAGGCCCCAGTCGCCCGAGACGTCCTTGGAGAACGACCCGAGTCCCCAAATCGTGCGGTCACCCCGAATCCCCACTGATTCACGACACGGTGCGGTCACCGCACCGTTTGAGGGCCCCCGAGAGTCCGATGCCCCAGCGTCGATGGCTTTTGGTTCAAGCTCGGTTCTCCAGCGGCCATTCGGGACGTTCGGGATTGCCCCGGAGCGCTCTCGGCGAGGCGCAGCTGCTGGAAGGCATCCCGAGGCTAGATAACCCCCAGGAACTGACGAAAATTAATGTCCGAAAACCCTGAATCTCCACCAACTCGCCAAACGGTGTGGTCACCGCACCGTTCGGGGGCTCCGCGATGACCTTCGCGATCTCCTCGGACACGCCGGGGATCTGCATCAGCTGCGACACCCAGGTGACGCGCAACCTGGCCGAAGCGTCCCGCGGCAGCGTTTGGCACCGCGCGCCGGCCACCTTGAACCTGCAGGAGAGCACAAGACAACATTTACGGTCAGGAACTTTTGCTTAGCATGTCGCGGCGGCGGTGCTGGCGACACGCTATGCCTTGCAGGCGGATGGCGTGTCACTCCGCTCCGCGGGACGGGATGCTGCATGGGCAAAGCTCGGGACGCTGACGCTCGGAAATGGGGACGTGGATGACGTGTCGCGCCGAAGCGTAGTGGGCCAGAACTGGCGGCGCGACACGCTAAGCCAAAGTTCCTGACCGTAGACGTATACCTTAGGAAGCCCGCGCGGATCTCTTGGGTTGGCGCTGGAGCCTCCTCCCCCCGCGCTCGGAGCGCGCCAGAAGGACACCGCACAACACATAAAGATAAACCTCGTGAGGCCCGCGCGGATCTCTCGAGTCGGCGCTGGGACCTCCTCCCCCGGGGCTCGGAGCGCCCCAGGGGCGGCGCCAGAGGCGCGGCCAGAGCTAGGGAGACCCAGACATCCGACGCCGTTTTCGTTGCACACAGCGTGGCTCCCCATTAGACGGAGGCAAAATCGAGACAACATCGGACCGGCATAATTAAGTCGGAAATCTGTGAGACTCGGCAGGTTTAGAGGATGTATCGGGCGCCGCGGCCGTTTCAGAGCGTTCCAGAACGCTCTGGAACGGATTCGTCTCGATTCTGGGCCCGTCCTACGCCAGGAGGTCTGGACTTTTTCTGGACGTTGGCAGCACTGGGCTTCGTGGGGCCTGGTTTCGTGATGTGTACTGGGAGCACGCCCCCCGCCCCCTTCCACGAACCAGAACTGCCGCCGCCCGAAGAAACACCAGCTACGGCTGACCTGGCTTGGAGACTCTGGCCCAGTTTGTGTGCTTCGGGGCCCAATCACTACCTGCTTCCAGTACCCAAGGTCCTGACTACATCCGACCTTTCCCGGGGCCCAGCTTTTCATCCCGAGTAGTCTTTGGACGGCCCCAGTGTCTGGATACTTCACAGAGACCTCCCAGATGGAGTCGCAGTAGATGGATGGGGTCGGAGGAATGCGATGCACTAGCGACGTCGATGATGCATCGGCGCCGACGGCGTGGAGAAAATCGGGCTCCACATCGAGGCGCATCGCCGATGCATCGGCGATGCGGCGCGATCCTCCGACCCCATCTGCTCGAACCCCATCTGGGAGGCCTGGAGGCAAGGCCTCCCAGGGGCTGGAGACGGCCAAAAGCCTCCCGTCATGTTTTTGTGTTTGGGCCCCCGCCGTCCCGAGACACCAGCGCAGATCCCCGAGAGCTGGCTCCAACCTCGCCATCGCTCGGGCGTTCATCCCCCGTTCATCTTCCGGCTTTGCGCGCTGAGTTTTTCGCAAGGTGGACAAGATGCTCCTTGATGGCTCTTGCCGAAGAGTTGCACCAGAGAAAAACCCCAATCAGTGGATGGTGTTCGCTGAGGAGATCGACCGGGAACCCCGGAGCCTGGGAACCCCAAACCCACCGAAATCGGCCCGGAACCAATAATCAAGAACCCGGGAACCGGGAACCCGGGAACCCAGCCTGCCACCAAAATCGGCGGGAAACTTTCGCCAAATCTTGGCAACTTTCGCTATAGGGCCCCTTCAGTGCAGGCACTGCTTGGGGAAAAACGCACGCGTCGGAGCGATGCCAAGCAGTGCGACTTCCATACCTTCTTTTCCTCCGAGCCTCGAGGGCACGCGCCGGCGGCGGCTCTCGCTCACCTCGGCTGCACGCGCGCAGGCACAGGATCGGCCCTTGGCAAGAGAGCGAGACAGAGAGAGCGAGAACATCAGGACTAAATCGGGCCGGTCCTCCTACAGGGGGATTTTGAACGACAAATGAAAAATATCCCAACAGTTATCAAAGATGATTCAAAAGTAAAAGTGCTCAAAACATCGTCTCCAGACTTTTTGACTATTTTTGAATATTCCTCCTGTAGAGGGACAACAAGCCCGACTTAACATCAGGATCAATCAACATCGAAAAATCCAAGGCGACGAAACCACGCAACCCGACGATGAACAACGCATTACTGTTTCCAGGGCAGTGGAGAAGCGTACAGCTGGCAGAGCCAGTCAACAATCGAATCGGGAAATCGGATCGAGTCGGGATGTGCGACGCATCGGGCCGCGCCAGCACAGAGCTGGAATCGGATCGGATCGGCTGCACCACAGCGCCACGCAAGCATCGGGCGCCGCGTCGGATCGCTGGGACATCGAAATCGAATCGGATCGAACTGGCCGAAATCGACTTCGAGCCGCACCGACCGGCTCGAGAGGAGCCCGGAAGAGGGGCCCCTTGTTGAGCAGAGACCGACCGTCCCGGCATTCCTATAGGCCTCGGACCCGCCAAACATGTTCCCAGAACAAAAACACTGTTCTTAGAACATGAGCCCGATGTGTTGAAACAGGACAGCTCCAGCCAGAACTGTTCTGAGAACACTTCGTCGAAACCACAAACGGTTCTCAGAACATTGTTTTCTTGGGCGTGGCTTAATGGGGGGTCGTAAATGGGGGGGTCAGAAACGGTCCCCTTTCGTGCCCCTTTCGGGCCCCTCCGCAGCCCCAGGGGGCTCGTTTAGGTACCGTTTGGGTACCTTTTCGGACCACCCTCGCCCCCCCCCCCCCCGTGGATGACCCCCCCATGACGCGACGCCCGAGTTTGGTAGGCCCATGGGCGAGCCGGGACGCTACGCCACTGCGCTCGACCTTGGTGCGCGGCCTGCCGACGGCGGCGTGCGGGCGCGGCAGCGGCGGCCTGCGTGCCCGGGCCCCCGCCAGCGCGGCCCCTCGCGCCCGAGGAGCCGCCCCCGGGAGCCGCGCGCCTCGAGGGGGCCTGCCCGCCCGGCGCAGGGGCCGCCCCCGCGCGGCCAGCCCGGGAGGCCCTGAGCTCAAGTCGGGCCTGTCCCTCTGCAGGAGGAAAATTCAAAGGTAGCCCCAAAATCGTATGGGGACGACGTGTCGACCATCTTTGCCTATTTTGGGGTATTTTTTTTCCTTCTTCGTCCAAGGTCCGCCTGTAGGGGGACACGCCCGACTTCACCCGGAGCCGATCTCTTTCCCGGAGTTCCTGGCGTTGCAATGTTTTTTTAAAAGCCGTGCGTTTCGGCGCCCGGGCCTCGGGCCCCGGGGCCATCGTCGCCGATCGACCTGGCTCGGAGCGTGGGGCGGAAAAGGTGGGGGTCCTCGGGGTCCAGGTGTATGTGTCTCCGCGGTGTCGCAGTTGTTCCGCCACGTCTGATCTCAGGGTCATACTCTGTGTGTGTGGGTGTGTCCACCAGGCGCTCGGAGGGCCTCCGGGCACCTTGCCGAGCCGCCCCCGCGCGCCCCGCCGACACGCGGGGCGCCTCGCCCAGCGCGCCCATTCCCCCGGACTTTGGCCCTCGTCTGCGCACCGCGTCGCCCTGCGCCCGCCCCCCTCCCCTGACTCGCCTGCTGACGCCGCGAGGCGGGCTGGACGCCTCGGGCTCCGCTCTTGTGCCTCTGCTCGCCCGCCACGCTTACTCTGACTGCGACGGGCCCAGTCTCCCCCCCCGGTCGGCCCCTCTGGCCCACCGGGCGAGTGGCAGCCACCGTTGCCCTCGGTTGATTTCCCTGTGCCAGTTCGGCGCTGCAGGCCTACCACTACTGCGGGGCCCCCGCCGCCTCCCCCACGGCGGCCGCCCCCCCGCCCCCCCCCATCTGCGGGTCCCCACCCTGCCGAGGGGTCCCTCCTCTCACGTTCAACTGCACCTGTTCGGTGCCGCGCTATCGCTTCCTGCGGTGACCGCCCTCCCCCCGCCTGCTGCGGGCTTCCCCTGCCACGCCGGGAGGCGCACGCTTTTTCTTTTCCGTACCTGCACCTGGCTGGCGGCCAGCTCTCGCCCCAGTGCGGTATCTTACGGGCTCGCCGCTCGCGCCATGGCCCGCCAGGCACCCAGGCACCCCACCCAGCCAGCCGCGCGGCCGCGCGCCGCCCGCTTCGTGCCCACTCTTTCTCCACGCTGACCCTCTGCCGCTCAGAGCGCGCCGCCTGTCGTGGCGCTTGCCGCCCCACCTGTGGGCCCACAGGTGGGGCGTTCTCCTCCCTGTTCGCCTCTCCCCTCCCCGTTCGCTCTCCCTCCCTCCTGCGCCGCCGTGGCGCTGCCGGACGCACACGGCCGCCGTCCTTGGCCGCCCGCCGCCGGCCCCCGCGCCTGCCCCAGGCCTGGCCTTGCCGCCCGCCGCTGTTGCCGCTGCCCCAGTGGCTCCGCCCGCACCCACTCCGGGGTTGGGCAGCCATCTGGCTGTGATACTTACCGTCACGCGCCCCCTTGTCGGGATATTCCATCCCTGCACTGGGCCCCACCGCCGCTGGCCCGATGACGCAGCAGCCGCCGCGGACTCGGCGGCGGGGCCGCCCGCGCCGATCGCTCGGGGAGCGATGCGCCCCCCTCTGAGCCGCTCGTTCCGTCCGCCCCTTTGTCGGCCGCGCCTCCTCCCTTCTCCTCCTCTTGCATGGTGGCACAGTTCGCTTTAACGGCATCCTCGCTTAGGCATCCCTTCGCCAGCGCAGACATCCCCTGCCTAGCCGCCGACGCTAAAACGTGTGTGTGTGTGTGTGTGTGTGTTCTGTGTGTATGTGTTGTGTGTGTGTGTTGTGTGTGTGTATGTGTGTGTGTGTGTGTGTGTGTTTGTGTGTGTGTGTGTGCGTGTGTGTATGTGTGTGTGTGTGTGTGCGTGTGTGTATATTGTGTGTATGTTGTGTGTTGTGTGTTGTGTGTTGTGTGTTGTGTGTGTGTGTGTGTTGTGTATTGTGTGTATGCTTTGTGTGTATATGTGCCTTGTGTGTGTGTGTGCGTGTGTGTGCGTGCGTGTGTGTGTGTGTGTGTGTGTGTGTGTGTGTATGTGCGTGTGCGTGCGTGCGTGCGTACGTGTGTGTGTGTGTGTGTGTGTCGTCTCTCGGGGGGGCATTTTTTTCACCTCCTTTTGTGCTCAATGCCCTCTTGCCGCTGGAAGTCGGTGGCTTCCGCGGGCTCCACTGCTGCACTCTGATACTCCACTTTTGTCGGCCACGCCACTCTTGGCGGCGCGCACAAAAGGGGTAGAGGGAGGGGGGGGGCTTCTTGGAAGGAGGCTGCTTCTTCGAAGGCGCCGGCCCTACATCTGGCCCGCGCCTTCTAAGAAGCAGGGGTACTTCGAAGAAGCCTTCCCCCCTCCTCCCTCTGCGCGTGGCTGAAACTCCCTATTGCCCCTCGCGCTGTTCTTCTTCCGCCCGCTTCCGCCAGCTGAGCCGCCCCCTGCTATACATCCGCCGGGCTCCGACAGCCTTCCGCCGTCTTCCGCTGGGGAGAGGTGCCAATTTCTCGACCCATCTCGGGTCGGACGCAGGGGGGGTGATAGCAAAAGGGATAGCGAAGGGGGGGAGAGCAAAAGTGGGGGGATAGCAAACGAGGGGTTAGCAAAACGAAAGGGGGGAATCGCAAAAGGGGGGTAGCGAATCAACTCACGTGGCTGGTTTTCCTGGCGCTTCCCGCCGCCGGAGGCGCCAGTGTGTCGAGGAAACTGCTGGGCGGCGGCGCCGACGCCAGCCGCATGCAGCAGATCTCGTACCCCAGTCCGCTGCTAACGGCTGTAAGAGAAGATGTCTGTAGCCATGCAAACCTGTCCCGCCACCTCCCACGGCTAAGCCCTGCGGGGAGGGAGGTGGGGGCGCATTAGGGAAAAGGTGAGAGACGAGATGAATGAGACGAGGTAACACAATGACCTAGTTGGGAGTGGAGAGGTGGGGCGCCTGAACAGTCGTACCCCGCTCCTTCCCCTCCCCTTCCGTCGGCGATGGCGATGGAGATGACGATGCTGATGATGATGATGACGATGATGATGATGATGATGCTGATGATGATACTGCGGATGGTGTTCATGATACTGAGGGGGATGTTGCTGATGAGGATGAGGATAATGATGAGGACGGAACATAATGGTGATGCTGATGCCAATGATGATTATGCGGGTGTTGCTGATGGTGATGGCGATGGTAATGAGGATGATGGTGATGATTCATTCGTTCATTCACATCCTTGGCTCCGATGTCTAAGTGAGTTACAGCTTGCCTTCAACACGGCTATCATTCGTTGAACTCGAAGCGACGTCCCTGCTCACGCGCGGGCCTGAAACCCCCACCCTATGTGGCGGTCTCGAAGCCGACGGGCCCGACGGAGCCCCAGCCTGAGACCCACGACCTCCGACGTATGGAGACGTCAAGGGGATCGCCAAGCGGAAAGATCTCGACTGAGATCGTGGCCGCAATCCAACTTGCTCGAAACCATAGCGTCAAAAAGTCGGCTACCTGGGAAAACACCTCTGGTGGCCAGAAACATAATGAAAACCCTCAGATCCAAGACGGGGGGAGGAGACAAGAGGACATCCTTTCTCCTCTCAGCAGAACTAGTCGTCAGACTTGGTGAGGGTCCAAAGCAGTGTGAAGACGAAATATCCATCATGTTCGAAATGGCCTCCATTCTTCTGGTGTCGTCTGTCCTGCTGCTGTCGTCGATGTCTACTGCAATGGCTGCTCCACCCAATCCTGCAGCTCCCGCTCCATATGAGTCGCGGGTGCACGCCCGTACTTCCCCTTCGCAGGTGTCGCCCTCCGCGCGCTCGCGAGATGAACGTGGAACTGCGGGCCCCTCACGGCCAGGGTGAGGCACCTCTCCTCCTTCTCGTACATCCTGTCGGCCTTGCAGAAGAGAGCCAGCTCGGACTTCTGCTCGCAATCGTAGCTGTCGTAGTCCGTGAGCATCTTTACTACGGTCTGCTTGAGTGGGTCCTCGAGCGCCAATCCTGTCGCCGCTGCCAGCAATTCTCCCATCGCGTAGATCTGTGGCGGGCTCGGGTCGTGGTTCTTTCCTTTTCCTCTTTGTCAGCTTGCCGTGCGCCGTCGTCTGTTCCTGAATTCGGAGGGCGATCGGGCCGACGCTCGTGAGTGCCCACGTGTCGAACACCGCGCTGCTTATGACTCGACTCTGCCGGGCGTACTGAAGAAGCTGTTTGACGATCAAGCTCATCGATTTCTTTGTGTGCCCGGGTAGTTGCTGCGTTGCCACCTCCTTCGTCTTCTTTTTGCTCTCGCCGTCTTCCTCTGTGGTGCGCTGGCACTGGTTTCGCTCGAACATTTGGCCCATCGGTTCGTCGTGGCTTGACGGTTTGACTGCAGGAGTGCGGGCGTACTCCAGTGTCGGGCTTGGGCTTGGTAGGTGCCCACCGATGATGCTCGTAGAGAGAAGCCCGATCCGGAAAGGCCGCGGGGCACAGGGCGCGGGTGGGGTCAGAGTCGTTCTGGAGTGGCCACTTCATAGTGTTCCTTCCCATTTTGCATCGGCCCTGGGCGTGGGCGAAGATGAGATGGTTCTGGGCGCAGGCTCGGCTCTTCAATACTTTGTAACAATTTGGACACTGGTTCGTGATCGCCCTGTTCGGGATCGCAAGTCGCAAATTATGTCTGGATGCTTGATGAGTCGTGAACTGTCGGTAACCCGGGAATGATAATTCACAGCATCTTCCTGTTCCATGATCAATGAGCTCGCATGTGTGTTCTTTCGGGTTCGCGTCGGTCATATCGCTCGGCTGGTCGTGGAATCGGGCCCGTCTACTGCTTCCTGGGGTCTGTGCTGCTGCTCCTAGAAGTCCAGGGTCGATGCGTCGAAATTCCTGTTCGGCCTCGGGGTTCGGGGTGAGGAGTTGCTTCCACCGCTCGTTCGGGGGGGCCCAGATCTCCCGAAAGCTTTCGGCGCCACTGATATCACTGAAGAGGCCCAGGCCCCTGGAGACATGATGGGCCCAAGGGTTCGCCTTAGCTTTTATGCGGCCGTTTCCGTCGAGCGCGGTGGGTTCACTAGGGATGTGCCCGAAGATGGCGACGAGAGTTTGTCGATGTGCGACCCGATGACGGTGCGTGCTCTGTAGCCCTTTTTATGTCCCTGACCGCTAGCTCGAATATCTTCCAATACTTTACGACCTCGACGTTGCTCATCGCGGTCACGCGTGAGTCCGCGTGGATCGTCCTAACTCGTCCTTCCGCCACCGCGCGTGTATATTTCATTGCGTGTGAGTCTATTTCTCATCGGTTTTTGTAAGAACGAATGCTTCGAGTCCCGAGTCGCCCGCCTCCAGAACCTTCCCCACATGGTGGTGAGGATTCTTGCGATGAAGATAATCAGCACTCAAGTGAACAGTCAGAGTTCTGGGTGCAAGGCGAGGGAACGATCGTCTAGACGAGATCCAGCAACCCACTTCAAAAAAACAGTTAGTCGGTGTTTGCCATTGTTATCTCTGGTAAGCGGCGCGCGCTTAGAATGCAAGGAGCCTCCTTGGGCACCATGCCGATGAACTAGCCATGCCACGGGCGCTGATGGGCGCTAGCCTCATTCCGTGCGGGCGCACGGCGCGAGGTGAGCACTCCTCAGGCAGCGCTGAGCGATGGCTGTCGGACCAGGCGGTAATCCCCTCGTTGCAGATGTTGGGCGCGCTCTCGCGCTCATCCTGCCGTTGCCCCGCGCGTGCTTGAAAGTGGCTGGTGACTTTTGCAATCTCCGTCGTCTGGGTCATGAGGACGGTGAAAGCCGCCATCTAAACGGAAGTAGAAGTTGCTATGGAAGCTGCTGTTGAAGCTGCCTTGGAAAGCCGCCGACAGAGCTGGTTTCGAAACCGCCGTCGAAGGTGAAGCTGCCGTCATAACTGCTGTCGAACATCATCGCCTTGGTGAGGGGACCGCCCAGCCAGGGGGCCTGGCGTGACAGCGGCCTGGCGATAACCATTCATGAACTGTCAGACGAACGGGCACCAAAGCGGGCCCCAGACAAGGTCCGGGGCAAGGGCGCCGAAGAAACATAATCGGGAGTGGCATCCTTGCGGCCAGCCACATGAGGAGATAGCATTGCGCCATCAGGTATTATGAAAGGATCGGGAGCTGCGTCGCCTGCACAGCCCGATCGCCCGCAGCAGCCCGCCATTGCGGCGGGTACGCGAGAGCGAGCACAAACGCTGCATTGCAAAAGGTCTGTGCCCATAGACGTATCATGCACGTGCATGCCCACTAGTGCGGGTGCATCAATCGAGTGGCCGGATTGCCCACTGCCGCACATACTTGTTGAAGAACCGAACTGCCAGGACCAAGCCCCGACGGGGGGAGATCCAGGTAGCGTAGCCAGGGGCCTGGGCCGCCTCCATATTGGCGAGGCCCTGGTCACTGAATTCCAGGGGGCCCCGGTCTTTCAAAATCAAAAGCGAGCCGCTAACGATTTCATCAATGAGGTCGACCACCCAGTGAGAACGGGCGAGCCGGTCAGGGGGCCTGTCGTCAGCATACAGAGCAAGGATGTCCGTGCGCGTCCTGCTCAGGGCTGTACCGCCGGACGGTGCCATTTCCAAGCGGTCCGATAACATGTTGGCGAAGCCCTCGGCGACGTCAGCGTCCGTAGGGATGTCAAGCTCCATCGTGTTGTCCCACTCTAGGTCACCAGTGCCGAGCATGACGGCGTCCTCAGCGTCACGCGAATCGCGCGTAAGTTGGCGCCTCACTATATTGGCCGCCTCTGGCGCCAGCACCGGGCCAGCAGGTGGCCGCCTCCGGCGGAAAGCAGCGGCGAAGACATCAGTGGTGCTGGTGGGCCCACGCTGGTGTTGCTCGGCGCACGCCTCCAAGAGTGGGCACATCAAATCCCAGGCCTCGACCAGGCCATCATCCCACGCGGGCGCTGCTGCAGCTGGGCCGACACAGTGCCGAAGGGGGCTTCGAAGCAGGAGCAACAGCTGCAGTGGAAGCTGCTGTCGAACGGCGAGACGCCATCGGTGCTGTTGTCGAAGCCGCCGGCGAAGGCGGAGCCGCCGTCGAAAACGAAACTGTCATTGAAGCTGCCGTCGGAGCTGCCGTTGAAACTGCTGCCGTAGCTGTCGTCGCTTCTGCCGTCGCTGCCTTTGAAGTTGCGGTCGAAGCCGCCATTGAAGCTGAGAGCCAGGAAGGGGGAAAGCTAATTACGTTAGATGCCGCGCCTGCGCCAAACAATGGCTTGAGCCAAAATTGCTAGGGATGGCGATGATGATGATGATGATGATGATGATGATGATGATGATGATGATGATGATGATGATGAGGAGGAGGAGGAGGAGGAGGAGGAGGAGGAGGAGGAGGAGGAGGAGGAGGAGGAGGAGGATGAGGAGGAGGAGGAGGAGGAATACGAGGACGAGGAGGAGGACGCTCACCGCCGCCGCGCACTGTGCGGCGTACTCGGCCGCGTGGCCCGGGCCCTCCAGCTCCACGGCGCCGGCGCCGCGGCGGACGAGGCTGGCCGCCAGGGGCGCGGCGACGGCGGGCCGAAGGCTCGCCGGCCTGGTGCCTCGCGGCCGACGGGAGCACCGATGGGGAAGTCAAAACATCACGACCCCCAGAAGCTTGATCCTCGAGGCTCATTCAAACTTCGAACCTCGAGACTCGAGGATCGAAGCTCTCTGGCCCTCGGGGGGCCCTGTCGCCGTACGGCTCGACGCAGCTCGGAAAACTGGTGCGCTTGGACCCAGGCAAAGGTTTGGTGACACATTGTGACCGGATTTTGCAGCCTCCTCCCGTCGTGAGCAGAATCACAACGGGAAATCCTTGGGCATCTTCGGCCCCAACGGGGCCCTCGCCGGGCTCCAGGACCGGGCCTGCAAGGAAAACAGGGTCGGGACTTCTGGGGGCCCCGCTAGGAAAAGCTTAAGACCTCGCATGTCCAGAGTCGAGGGGGCAGGCCTCCTCGGAAGGCGGCGGGGCTCCTCAGAAGCCACGGGGCCCTCCGAGAAGGCTTCAGCGGCTTCGGAGAAGGCGGTGTAAAGCTTCTCCGAAGGCGGGAAGCCTTCCGAGCCTTCCGAGAAGGCCCGCCCCGCTGCCTTCCCCCCCCAGGCGCGCCGCCGACTCACAGCCGATGGGGCACGCCCACATCCCACGCCCTCGCGCTCTGGGCACCACTGGGCGCGATCCCATGGACCCAGATCTCTGACGACATGATCTTGTCGACTACACGCAAGAGTGACCTTGGGTAAGAGTGACGTTTGGTGCGCGGCTTTTTGGGGGCCGCGGGGGGGACTAAACACGAGCGCGCAAAACGCTACTACCGCATCGCGTTCGGCGATCGGGGGACCCCATTGGGCCCGCACCAAAGGTTACTCCGGCGAAAGATCACTCTTACTTGTAGCCGATCTTTTCAATCTGGGCAAATCTTCCTCGATTCTGGTCTGGTTTTGGGCCCCGGGGCTCTCAGAAAGGGGTCCAGGACGGATCACTGGCGGAAGGGGTCGGGACCTCCAGGGGACGCGGATTGAACAACAAACTATCGTCGGATGGATGGATGGATGTCTGGGGATGAGCGATCCTGTGGATAGTTGCGTCCCGCGCGGGGCATCCGCGCAAGGCCGCCCTGTATCCCCTCCGACATCCGGCGCTCCAAATTGTTCGATGCGTGGACCCCCAGAGGTCTGGACTTTTTCCCTATGGGGCTCCCGAGTCGCTTTGGGACGGTCCCTGGGCCCGTTGAGGGCCCCCCGGAAGCCGAACCCAGGCCGAAAACTGGCCGCTCCGGTTTTGGTCGGAGCCTCGGACTCCTGGGGCGGGGCCGCGGCCGTGGAGCCCGAGGAGGGCGAGGCCGTGGATCATGTATGGATGCCTTTCCGCCCCCGCGGGGCGCCGTACAGCAGGAGCAGCAGGCGGGCTGCCTCTCGGGAGGGCCAGGCAACGCCACAGGGCACGAGCTGCGGGAGAGGCCCGCGGGGATTTTTCTCGGGTCGGCGCTGGGGGGAACTTCTCGGGTCGGCGCCAGGCCCTTCGGGGCCCCAGAAGCTTGTGGTGACGGACCGCGTGGCGACCTCGTGGTCCCCAACGGCCTCGCCGCGCGGTGCGTCGCCGCACGGTCTTGGGGATCTCGGATGCCCCCGTCGACCGAGACGTCCTCGGAGAACGACTCGAGTGCCAAAACCGCGCGGTGACCCCGAGTTCCCACCGACTCACCACGCGGAGTGGTCACCGCACCGCTTGGGGGCCCCCGACCCCTGGCAGAGCGTGCTGGGGGCATCGCCGGAGGAGCCGCCAGAGATGCCGGGAACGGACTGGTTCATTGACCGACCCGAGAACTCTGCGCGGACCCCCGAGCGGTTCAAATGCGCGCGGCCAACAGTCCTCGGCGTCGGCGCTGTGCGAAGGGGCGGGGGCGGCGACCGGGAGGGTCTGGGGCCCCTGCGAGGCCCCGGATCTGGCCAAACCCGGCGCGCGTCCCCCAAAACCGCCGATCGCGGCATCCCCCTTGTGATTTCAGTCGATCGGGAGTTCGGCCCGCCGCGTCCGTACGAAAACGAATTCTAGAAAAAAGGTGCAAGCTTCGTCATTTCGCAGTACCCAGACCAGCGACGTGATGTTTTTGCTCGCAGCGTGGACCCCTGGAGGTCTCGGCCCATTCCCCGGGACTAGCTTTTCATCCCGAGTCGTTTTTAATTGTCCCTGGGCTCAGCGAGGGCTCCCTGGGGCCGAAAATGGCCGCCCACCCCCCCGCCCGTTTTTTGTCCGCGACGCCAGGAGGCCTGGGCTCGTTTATTCTTTGGTGGTGTTGTTGCTACTGTTTAGACGTGTTCGTGATTCATCTATTGGGATGTTTTTTTTGTTGTGTGCAAAAACATGTGTTGATCGTGCTTCATTTTTTCTGTGCCTGCAGCGGCCCGTGGGCGGCGAGCCAGTCCGACAGGGCCCCCACCGCGGCGGAGGTCAGCAGCTCGGCGCTCGGGGCCTCCAGGAAGACGAGCAGCAGCGGCAGCGTCGTGCCCGTGACCTCCAGGCAGTTCCCCTGCGCCACGGCCGCGCGGTGGGCCGCGTACGGGAAGTCGCACTCGACGTAGGCCCACCTTCGGGTGCTGCTAGAGTTTGGCCACCCGCAGTGGGTACGACGGACAGAAGATGGGTACGATGCCAAGGAACCAGTGCTGTCCAAGACCGGCAGCGGCCGCTGTTGGGCAGGCGGCCTCCTGTTTCAAATGGACGACGTCCGCGGCGACACCGGCAGCGACTCCTGCTCAAAATGATCAGGAACCGCTGTCGGTCTTCGTGCCCAGTAGTTCCGTACCCACTTCGATCGTGCCGACAGGGTCTAGGCCTCTCAGATGGGGTCGGGGCTAGTGGGGTCGGCGGACTGCGCCGCATCGCCGATGCATTGCCGCTGCGGCTCGATGCGGAGCCCGTTCTTCTCCACGCCGACGTCGTCGATGCATCGCAAAGGCAGCGATGCAGCGGCGATGCGGCGCGGTCCCCCGACCCCATCCAGGAGGCCTCTACAGAAGCGGTCATGGCCCAAGGTGCTCCCAGCTTTGCGCTCCATTTTGGGGCCTCTGGGGCCCACTGGGCCTCGTGAGGAGCGCTCCTGGACGCCACCACCTGCGCCTCCCGTGGGAACGCATGGGGCCGCCCTGCGTTAGGGGGCCACTGGCAGCGCCCGAGACCTGCAAGGCCGGGAGCCCTCCAGCGCTGGCGGAGGGGGCAGCCCGTCCTCGGAGATGCAGAACAGTGCCGAGCCGAGTCGGAGCACGCACAACCTTTTTCACGGCCTTGCGGCGTGCGGGGCAGGGAGAGAGACATCACCCCGCCCCGACCCAGGCGTGACAAGGTGGTGCCCCCCCCCCCCCCTTTCCGTCGATCACTCCTTGGACATCCAGGCTCCGACCACGGTCAGGGTCGGAGAGACAAACCCGAGGGCCCCGAACGAGAGCGGGGCCAGAAGGCGGGCTCGAGGACCCCCAGCACGGGCACTTCCTCTGGCGTGGTCTGTGCGGCGCGGGAGTGGTGGGGGGGGGGAAGCCGGACAACTGCTTCACGAGGCGGGCCCAGCGCTCCGGGGCCAACCGGGGGCTCTCGGGGGGGCCTCTCGGGCCGTCTTGGGGCGATCTCGGAGGCCTCTCGGGCTGTCCTGGAGCGTCGGGGGCACGAAGGGGGGGGAGAACGCGAAGACCCTGTAAACACCTAGGACGAATCAATGGCTTGGCCTCTCGGGGCCCTCTTTGAGATCGACCCCACCTCCTGGGCGGGCGTCTCCGTCGCGGCCCGTCCGTTGATGGCCCCGTGGGCCCGCGACGAGCCTCTCCAGGGGCCGGAACTTGGGAAAGCCAGCAGTTCATTGATCTTCTCGTGCGACGCAACTATCGGCGGCGAGCCCAGGGGGACGTGAGAAACGGCGGGCCTTCTAAGAAGGCTCGGAAGGCCTCGGGCCTTATTCCAACTCTTCCCCGACGACACAAAAAACTTCTCTCAGAAGGCCGGGAAGCTTCTGAGAAGCCCCGCCCCCTTCTGAGGAGGCCTTCTCCCCCTCACTTCCCACTCGGGCGCGCCGCCGAATGGAAGCTGCCCCCCCTCAACATCGGCCCCTGGACGTGTCCTGGGCAGACCCAGCCGCGTCCCCGAGGGCAGCCCAGGACCCCTCAAAAAAGAACCCTCGATCCTCCATCCTCGAGGCCTCCAGAGGTCCCAAGAGGTCTCCCGAAGTCTTTGGAGGTCCTAGGGGTCTTCGGAGTTTGTCTCGGAGGCCCCTGGAGACTGACGAAGATGCGAGAAAATCGCAACAGCTCCCTCGACCCTCGGAGCTCGAAACTGGATCCGTCCTGGGGTGCTTTTCGACCAAAATTCCGAGGCGAATCCATCCGTGACCGCAACAGCCAGCCTCAACAAACCAAAGACACCATGCATAGAACATACTTCGCGGATGTCCTGGGATCTTCCCAGGCACTCCACGGCAGCTCTCTCTTTCTCTCTCTATCTCTCTCTCTCTCTCCCTCTATCTCTGTCTCAGCTCGATTGGCTCTCAACTCCACGCTCTTTACTCTCCCTCTATTACGATATGTGCACTCTCTGACCCAAGATGACCCCAAGAGCCCCCAAGATGCCCCCGAGGCGCCCCCAAGGAGCCCCCAGAGGCCCCCAAGAGGTCCCCAAGAGGCCCCCAAGAGGACCCCGAGAGGCCCCCAAGAGGCCCCAAAGGCTCCCAAGAAGCCCCAAGAACCAAGAGGCCCCAAGAGGCGCTCACTCGCGGGCTGCCAGGCCAGAGGTGCACGGCCTGACTTGGTATTGCTCGGAAGCGAAAGCGATGAACGAAGAACCTTCCACCCGTCGCCGTCACCAGTCGTCGGTCGTCGGCCGTCGGCAGCCGTTCGCCGTCAGTCGTCGTCGTCGTCGTCGTCGTCGTCGTCGTCGGTTCGTCGTCATTAACTCCTTCGTCGGTCGTCGTCGGAATTATCCCGCTCGTCGACCGTTGGTCGTCCGTTGTCGTCGTCATCGTCCATTTCAACAACAATAGCATCAAGAACGCCCCGGATCGGCGGTACTGGCCGGAGGCCACTACAATCTCTCTATATATGTATATATATACACATATCGATGTATCTGTTAGTGCATGTGCTGTCTCCGACACCTATTGCTTTGGCCTCGAGGGTGCGACCGCGCCCGTCCGCTCCTCTCGCACGAGCTGGCTCTCCAGTTGACGCGGGGCGCCGAGGGCAGCGCCCGATGCGGCACCGGCCGGTCGACGCCGGGGCCCGTTTCGCCGTGGGCCAGGGCGCTGCCCGGCGGCGCCTCCTTGCCCTGCCTGCCCAGGCTGCAGCCTGGCCTGCGCGCATGGCCTCCGCGTCCCCCGCGGCCTCTCGGCGTGCCCCCGCATCTGCCCCGGGGCGCGGGCTCCGCCGCCGCGGCGGCCTCGCGCCCGTGGGCGCGCGCGCCCACCGCCACTGCTGCCCGCGCCGGGGGCGGCGCCGCGGCCCTGGGCTGCGACGAGCCCGAGCCCTGCGGGTGCTGGGGCCTGGCGCTCGGCGTGGTGCTGGCCGTGGCCTGACGGTCTGGCGTGGCGTGGCCGTGGCCTGGCGTGGCCTCTTCTTCTCCTCAAGCCTGGCGCCTCGGCGCGGTGCTGGTTGTGGCCTGCCGCCGCCCGTGCCGCGCAGCGGCCCAGGTGGCGGCTCTGCGCCACCTGCCTGTGCTGGAGGAGCCTCCGGCCGCGGCCAAAGGCCGACGCGCGGGCCGCCTCGCGCAGCAGCGAGGCCACCTCATTTTCTCGCAGAGGAGGAGGAGGAGGAGGAGGAGGAGGAGGAGGAGGAGGAGGAGGAGGAGGAGGGAGGAGGAGGAGGAGGAGAGGAGGAGGAGAGGAGAGGAGGAGGAGGAGGAGGAGGAGGAGGAGGAGGTAGGAGGAGGAGGAGGAGGAGGAGGAGGAGGAGGAGGAGGAGGAGGAGGAGGAGGAGGAGGAGGGGAGGAGGAGAGGAGGGAGGAGGAGGAGGAGGAGGAGAGGAGGAGGAGGAGGAGGAGGAGGAGGAGGAGGGGGCGTGGCGTGGCGGGCATTTGACGTCTCAGAGCGCTTAGTCTTCCTCGACTTGTTCGACGACTCGAGTGGCCTCCGATGGCACATGCGGCTGCTGGTGCTGGCGACGCCCAATCCTGGGCAGTGGATCTGTGCCGCTCCAGGCCTCAGCAATCAATTCCTCACGTGTCCACCCGCAAGGTCATCCCCGCGCGCCAAGGGATGCGGAGTTCCCGCTCCGTGTGCGCGGCGAGGCCTACGCCTTCGACCCGCTCACGGCCGAGGAGCTCCTCCAGGCCCGCCGAGAGGCCAAGGAGCTGCTGGCCGTGCACGGGCTCACGGGTGCCGCCGACGCGCAGCCCGAGGGCGGCCGCTGGCTGATCGCCGATCCCGCGAGCCCAAGCTTCGGCGACGCCCTCCCTGTGGCCGCGCTCGCCGATCCCGAGGCGCTCGTGATCCGGGAGGAGTCAGGCCTGGCCTACATGGGCGAGGCCTGGGTCGTGGTCGAGCGGGTGGCCGACATCGACACCGACACTTGGCGCCACCTTCCAGCGGCGACGGGCGCTGGGCGGGACAGGCGCCCGCTGGGCGACGAGCGCGTCAACGGCGTATCCGTCGTCTCGCTGTCGGCCGCCGCCAAGATCAGCAAGAAATCCCAGAGACCAGCTTGGCCTTTCCGAGGCGCCCAGGCGGCGCCCGAGCTGGTTATGTCGCTCGTGGCTTCGGGCACCTTCCTCGTCACCCACCACCTCGCCTGGAGGGCCAAGTCTGGGTCAGCGGGATGTCGGGCGCGTGCCGCGCGCATCGCCGCGTCTGCAAGGGCCTCGACTACTCCATCAATTACGACCAGCTCGACTACGCCAACGTGGCGGTGGTCGAGCACCTGGCACGTTGGCTCTATGAGCTAGAGTCGGCGGTGCGGCGCAACCCCAAAGAGCTGTGCTCGTGCTGCTTCCAGATCTTGCGAAGTGGGTCTCGACGCTGCGACGCGACGAGGCACAGCTCGTGAAGCAGGAGCGGCTCTGGAGC